TAAAAACCTCAAAGATAAAAAGTAGCTCATCAAGCACGAAAAATCGAGAAGGCGGTTGACAATGTTGAACATTGTGTTAAATGCTTAGCCAGTGGAGTCCGCTTTGACCACACGATCAATCCCTAAACAAAGTTTACCTAAAGATTTTAAATTAAGAACTTATTGAGAGGTAACCCAATCTTTTACTCATTTATCTATTTTTCTTTAAGTATTTGCATTGCATGTAGTTTATTAGTTTCAGGAACGTTTAGGTTACAATAAAAGGGCTATCTTAATTATCAGACACAAATTCAGGGAGTACATGCTTCCTTTCCTTTCTTTTCTCATCTCTTTATGCTGCTTAATTATACTTTAATGCATTGAGGGATAATGTCTAATTTAAGTTTAAAGGTGGAAAAAACATTAAATTGTTTTAGTTTTTATTACTTTTGTGTGATTATGTGACTTTACCGCTTTATTAAATATGAAAAAATTGAAAATTTTGAATTTTTTTAAAAATTCCAAAAAAAACTTCTCTTTATTTTGCTTTTTAATTTGCTTGTATGTGTTAGGTAGTATTGTCGACTATGATGAATATATTTGGAATCTATGTGTTAGGGTACATGCTTAGATTCATTTATGCTTATCCATGTAGAATTTGATACTATTTGTGCACTTAAATTAAGTTTACCATTGTTAAGTAATGAGTTGATTCATATGTTTGATATGTTGAAATAGTAAAATTTAGATGCTGATCAACTCAAAGATTACTACATATACATCCATAAACCATTTTAAGTGTTGTTTGGGGGTGATTGCAATATTGTAGGGAGATATTGAGATAAATTGGGATTCCATGTGTATAAATTTTGTATGAATTGTCTAAAAAAGTACAAAAAAAATTAGATGAAAATCTTAAGTTAGAAATCGATTTTTGAGAATGAGTGTTTAATGAGTAGCATTGCATAAAAAGGGAAATACTGAATTGTTGTGATGCTACCTTATAAAAGATCCCAATGATGGCACTTATTGAAAATTTCGAAAAGAAAACTCAAAAGAGGATGAAACTAGTGCATGAAATCTATCCAAACTAAAGAGGTGAGGATTATATAAAAGTTCAACATTAGACCACACATTGGGAAAATAGTTTTAAAAAAAAAAAAAAAAATGCAATTCTCCNAAAAAAAAAAAAAACCTTGAGGGTGTGTGTATCTTATGAATGAAGAAAAGACAAATTTGATCATTGGGGGTCGAAAATTGAAGCAACTTGTAAATATATTATATTCTACTTGATTCTTCATACACACAAACATTAGTTTTGAATTGGATAAATAGATTTTGATTTTAGTATTGTGACCTTGAAGTTGGTCATGGATTTAATATATTGATTTCAATCATGAGACACACAACAGGATTTTAATTTTAGTATTGTGAACTTGAAGCAGTTCATGGATTTAATATATCGATTTCAATCTCAAGATAAATGACAAGTTATCTAACCGAACATTTGTTGCATGGTTGTTAGTTGAGATATGTTACAGTTTTGTTTGAGGACAAACAAATATTCAAACTTGAGGGTATTTGATAATTGTATTTTACACACTATCTGGACCTGTAAATATAGACATTTAAGAGTTTTATGATTAATTATGGCCTAGGTTTTTGTATTTTTCATTTGTTAGGTAAAATTCGATGACTACAAGGAAAATTGGAAGAAATGAGCGAAAAAATGTGGAATCCAAAGGTCGAGGAGCAAAGTGCAACTGTTAATAGTTGGTTCGAACTACAAAACAATTATTGAAGATTATGCGGGTTCAATAGGATGCAAATCGAAGATAAATGTCATAATTTGCATAAAAAAAAGGACCTAAATAGGCCACCTAGAAGTTTGAGAACCAATTTGCAATTGGTCTCAAGTTTTGAAGAGCTCGCGTGCACACCGAAAGACCATGAATGCACGAGCCCATATCTCAGCAAGCTCGAGAGTAGAATGCATAATGGACATGCGCACCAGCCTCTCCTTCGCACGCACAATGTACAAAATCTGGCGGACAAGGATTGTTACCTTATTTGATTAAAACTCTGATTGGAAATCACTTCGAATGCGATTTTGACCTAAAATTCGACTCTTATAAATAGAAAACAACATCATAAACTTAAAGCCACTTATCATACTCTAATATTCATCAATTATTAAAATCAAAGAGAAGCAAAAATTATTATTCTTGTGAAAGAATTAAGATGCAAATGCAAGAATTCTATCCATTGATAATCCAACCATAGTTTCTAAGCAAAAAAGAGAAAGTGCAATTGGAGATTTAACAAGAACCCATTGAAGATATTCAACAATTCAAAATTTATCTTCTTCTTCTCAGTTTATCAGTAATCCGGGCGATGTTTTACAATTTAAACATGATTTCTTGTAATATTGCAATGCTAGACTAGATTTCAAATTACTAAAACCTTATTATGAAGTTTTTAAAATAATTTCAATAATTTGATGCCCAATATGTATTTATTCTTGGATAACTGTTATAGAATTTAATAATTTTCAATGAATTAGCTACTAATTGAATTGTTGAGTGAATTTTATTGTTATCGAGAAAGACAATAGGGATATATAACACATTATGACAATTAATGTGAGGTCATATAGGGGATAGAGATATAACTCTATGCTTTACATGATTTCAATAGATATTCTAATATTTTAATGCATGATTTCGTGTTCTTATCTTTCATAGAGATATATGAATGTCACATAAGATGATATATTTAATTCTATCCTAAAGAGATTATTAATGAACTTAGAAACATTAATAAACAAATTCCATACATTTTGTCATAATATTAAATTGCATTAAAATGGATTAATAAGGTGATTCGAAATCTTAGTAATCATCTCACCTAACTTTACAAAAGCTTTCATAATTTGATCTTTAGAATAAATAGTTTAATTAGTTAACCAGTATAAATTCTTCATAAATTGATTATTCGATTAAAGTTGGCATTAATTGATTCTATAAGTGGGAACGATACTCTAATTATCATTATATTACTCGTTCACGATATCGTGCACTTGTAGAATTTCATACGATCAATTGTGATCGTTGGGGTTAGGTAGTTGCAGTGGTAGTGATTTAAATTTTTATATTTTAAATCGAAAATTATATATGTGGAAGATGGATGACATTTAGAGTGATTTTCGAAGTGGTGGCAAAAATCTTGTGGTGATTGGTTTTTGTGATTATTTTGTAGTGGCCGCTATTGAGGCAGTTGGCGGTGGTCTGGTGGCTCGAGGCAGTGATGGTGACGACGGTATATTTGTTTTTTAATGGTGACAACATATTGCCACATAATGCGGTAATGGTAAGGATGGTGGTGGTCTAGCGGAGGAAACATGTAATGTAACAGTGTGTTACAAAATATACGTAAAAAAGCTATATTAAAAAAATAAAATTACAATATTTTGAGAATAAAATTAATTTTGAAAGTAAGTTTGGAATTAGTAAATTTTTTAATGTATTGGTGAATTGTTCCCAGTGAATAATCTTGTAGACTGAATTTGTGCTATGATTAGTTTTTTCTTTCTTGAGTTTTATTGGTTGAACATTTTATTATTGAAATATAGACGTTTGGGCTCCATTTTTTTTTTTTTTCAAAAAATGCATTTTGTAATAGTGTTATGATGGAGAATATGTAGTTAAAAAATAAGAAAAGATTTTGACTTTGCGTGTAATATCATTTTATTTAAAAATAAGTGATTGAAATTATGTCAAATTACTGTTTAAAAATATATTTTGATAAAAAAATGGAACTCAAACAAAGACATAAAGTATGAATTTTAAAAGAAGAAAATATTATTTATTAAATAAAAAGGCACGAGCATAAGAAAACATTTTAGAACACTGTTTTTAGAGGAATATGTTACTTGTACACAATTTTATTAATATCCACACCCTTACGTATAGGGACCCACTTCAAATATAATATAATATATTCAAAGTGAGTCCTTGTCTAGACAAACNCATCCACAATCTATGTGGTGTTAATGTGACATTAAATGATAGGTGAAATTAAATAAGTCATTTAATTTCACATATCATTTAACCAATAATTTACATCTACGTAGACTTGGAATCCATCCTCAATGGGGATGAATAACAGTTGTCATAAAGAAAAGTTAGTTAAAATAAAAGATAAATAAAAATAATAAATATTTTTTGGGAGTAGTAAAATTAAGTATTAAATATAAAGATTTTGTTGGAATATTTTAAAATTTTAACTATCTAAATTTATAGTTGCTCTCTAAATAATAAAATATGTTTTTTAAAAATAGAGAGTATTGAATATGCTCTATGCTCAACAATCTTTAACTCGGATCTACAGCACCATTTTCAAGTCGGACCTACATCTGAATACATCCGCCAAATCGGCAACTCATCCTGTTTTTGTGCTGTTTTTGAATCCATTAGAAAAAAATAAAAATAAAAGAAATCTCTGCATTTCTCGATACATCAATCCGATCCAACACAGACACACATCACTTGATCTCACCACAGCATCCCCTTCACCAAATCCTCCAAAACCCACTTCTCATCTACAGGTCTTTCCCTCTATGAGCTATGGACAACAGTTTTATAACTTCAACAGTGTCACTTAGAACAGGGGGGTCGCTCTCATTTTCATTCAGTGATTACATATACTACTCGAATGAAAGATTCGGCAGGTACCCATGTGCATATTCATCACATTTATTATCAAGAACATGTTGTACTTGTTTATCGAATTCGGTATATAAAGTGCCCATAAGCCCAAGTTGTAATTGTAATTTATATGGGTTATGTCAATCCACTTCAATTCAGAGGTTACCTCATAAAAAGGTGGTCTTTGGTAGTTTTGACCGCTGTTATGACACCCCGGTACCTAATTGTGATGTTAGTAGAAGCTGTTATTGTAATAAAGTGTGTTACATCAGGGATAGAGGCGTGGGTGGAAGAAGAGGGGGGTTGAGAAAATGTATGGTTTCTGAGGAAGCGAGCAAAAGACGTAGTTTTGGAGGCAACGAGGCCGAGGTATTGCTTAGTTTGTTGACTGAGGAATTAGGTGAAGAGTGTTCTGATCTAAGAGAGGAAAATAAAAGACTAATCAAGAAGGTAGTAGTGGAGAAAAAGGTAAATGGTGAGACTATTAATAGGCGTAAGAGCAAGATGAAAAGAGTCGACACGGGTGTTCCCAAGAGTGAGTCAAAGTATGAATCAGTTGTTTTTAGGTCCAAGGAGGAGGATAAGAGGAGGAAAGAAGAAATGATTAGGATAGAAAGAGATAGAGAAGATCTACGAAGAAAAGAAAATTTGAAAGTGCGGCAAAAGGAAGAAGAAAGGGAAGCTTTGTTGAGAAAAGAGAGTGGAAATGCTAGGGCAAATGAAGAAGAGAGGGAAACTTTGTTGAGAAAAGAGAACTGGAAGGTGAGGGCAAGGGAGGAAGAGAGAGATGATTTGGTCAAAAGAGAGGAACACCGGGAGAGGATGAGGAGAGATGGTTCTAGTTGCTCTTCGTACTATTCCTTGTCTTCGACTGGTGAGTACAATAGCGATACTGAAATTGAGGTTACAGGAGAGGGTTTGGAAGTAGAATTATCAAACATGTATGAGAAGGATTCAAAAAGGAGCCATAAAATCGTCAGTGAAGTTGTGAAAGAGGACTATGGGGTTGACATGAGAAAGAAACCTTCTGAAATAGGTTCGTATGCTGGTTCTAGTAGTGCTGAGTCAGACTTCAGAAAGAAATCAGAGAAGAAGCTTACTGATGTATTGATTGAAGAGACAGAGCCTAAAAGGGGAGCCTTCCAAAAGGATTCTAGCCTTTTGGAGGTTCATGAACGTGGTTATGGGAAGACTTTTGGTACCTTCAAGAGTTATGATGATAGGTTGGTAAAATCAACTTCTGGTATAAAGTTTGATGAGGGAAGAAGACAACAGCAGAGGCAAACAGGTAATGAAGTTATGGGGCAGTCCGAAACAAGAATAAAGCATAAACAATTTATGGAAATGCCTGATAGCCCTGATGACGAAGTTGTAACCTCTTATGGCTCTCAAAAGCTATACAGTGGCAGGGAGGAGAGGTCTGCCAAAGTTTCTAGTTTAAGTTCAGAAGCAAAAAGAGAACATCAAACAATGGTTGGACTTGACACCAGAGAAGATGAATTTTCGGGGAATACTCGCAAGGTTTCTGAAGCATCGAAAGTTCAAGAGATCGATGCCAAAAAGACCTCTATATCTCAGAGGCTGTCTGAAACTAGAATGAAGAAAGAGGAAGGATGTTCAACTGATGTCATTACTTCAAATTATGATCCAGAAAAGAAACAACAGTCTGACCAGGTTACCAGGCTAAAGGACGAAAGAAGAAAATCCCAACAATTGACTAGAAAGGGAAGCAGTTTGCAATCAGATAGCAGGATTATAACACAAGAAGAGAATGTTAACTTAACGAATGACTCATATACAGAGTCCAAAGGGCAACACTTTCAAACACACGCAGAAAGCTTCGGAAAAACAAATGTCAGAATTGGAACACAACAAATGACTAACGAAACAGTCACACATTCTGGTGGTTTAATTGGTGCAAAAGATGGAATCAAGACAAAATCAGAGACACTAGTGACACCTCCACCTTCTCAGTTAGAAGCTAGAGATAAATCGCACGTTGAATCAATGAGTGGGCTCGCGATTGAGGAGGTGACTGGTGGAAGTTTAGAAAGTGGCTCTACTGCATTACATAAACGTGTCTTAGGGAGGCCTCCAGCATTGCATCATGAAAAATATGAAGGGGCCAAGAACAATGAAGCTAAAGAACAGCCTGCTATGTTCATCTCCAATGAAGATGCAATTGGTTCAGCTGAGCAATTACAGAAATCGTCTACACACTATGTTAGTGAGTTTGTTGAGAAGGTAAGGCATGAAATTTCAACTTCTGAAATCCAGGAGGAGAAGAAAACTTATGAATCTAAGTTTGTGCACGAGGAGGAGCAAAGTAACCGAAAGGGTTCGAGTCAATATGTTTCTCTAGAGTCTGAATCTGAGGAGCATCACTCAAGGCATCCCTCTAGGGGTTCTAAAACAAAGGGACCGTCAGATGAAACATGGGAGGTTGATGAACCATCTGTTCAGGAGCATTCTAAGACAGAAGTACAGGACAATGCAAGCAAAGCTGAGAATGCAATTGTCAAAAGATCTGGCCGGTCCTTGTGGAATATCATTGGTGATATTTTTCGTTTGAAGTGGTCTACACGCTCTGAAAGCCATTGCACAGGTGGAAAGGCAGGTGGGGTTTCACCCAATCAGTCTACAAGTAGTGATGCATGGTTTTCTGGTCGTGAAGCTGAAGAAGATGAAGGAGTGAGTGGAAGAAAAGAAAAAAAGGTGACACAAGAACCTGCATCCATCCACCAAAAACTAGAAAAGACTATTACTCCAAGTAAAGAAGACAGTTCCAGGACCTCAACTGTAGAGGCCTATGCAAAGCATGTAGGAGTGGATACTCTATCCTCTTCAACTGTTCTAGAAAGTGGTTCAGCATCTATGACCATTTCTTTGCCTTCCAGTGAAGAAACTTCCAAAAGTAACTTTGAAGGTTCTTCTTCCGGTGCTCCAGTATCAGAGTCCTTAATACCATTGCCTGCAATGCGTCTCCAAAGATCTCCCACTGTGAAAGAAATTTCTGGGGCTGCAGAAGCTGGTTCATCTGGTGGTGACACAAGTGCACAACCAGTTTCCTCTGATTTGATGGAAAAATCAAGGCCAGAGGTTAATGCTAAATTGAAACAGAGGAAACTTCAGAGGAAAGACCAAATCCCGAAAGATAGATTTGATGAATGGGAAGAAGCATATAGGGTCGAAGCAGAGCAGAGAAAAATCGATGAAATGTTTATGAGGGAAGCACTTATGGAAGCCAAAAAAGCTGCTGACAACTGGGAGGTGCCTGTTGGGTCTGTACTGGTGCAGGGTGGAAAGATTATTGCTCGTGGATGCAACTTGTAAGTTGTGCTTGCTGTGCTCTTTTGCTGATTTTTATGTTCAATGCAATTGATTAAACTTCTCTGTGATAAAATCTTTCAGGGTAGAAGAGTTACGTGACTCCACTGCCCATGCAGAAATGATCTGCATACGAGAGGCTTCAAACATGCTCCGGACATGGAGGCTTTCAGTAATTTCTTCGTCTTTATCAATTTAACTTGATCTTTCTACTCAGAATGTAGTACAGTGTCCTCAATTTCTTTGTGAAAAAAGTCACAATATCATTTGCTCAATGCTTTAGTAGCTTATCTGGAATGGTTTATAATAGTAGAGTAGCAACAACCACCAGACTTTTTTGTTCCTCTAGTTTCTCGAAAGATTGGAAAAGTTATAGGAAGATGATGTGACCTAAGTGGTATCTGGTTATTAACATGGATCATGTATTTAATGCAACTCAGTTTTGAGTGCTAAATCTCTAGAAACTTTGTGACATTCTTGCTCTTGACACTTCTACTACTTTGTATGCTATGTAGATTATGTGAATAAAGTAGCAAGGTCATGTGAGTACCTGAATTTCCTTTTTGCAGGAAACTACACTTTATGTTACTCTTGAACCATGTCCAATGTGCGCTGGAGCAATACTTCAAGCTAGAATTGACACTGTTGTATGGGGAGCCCCCAATAAGCTACTGGGAGCTGATGGCAGCTGGATTAGGTAAGCAGTTCGACTATGATATTTTCAGCTGTTATAGCTTCTTTTCTCACATTTAGTTTAATATGGTAATTAATTATTATGAAGATGATGCAAATTGGAAAGTATATTCGAGGGGTAATCGAAATTAACATCAATTATAATAGAATTTTCCATTATTGCATTTTACTCATTTCGGTAAATTGATTTTGTAAAGGGAAGATCATAATTTTCCTTAGTAGTCGTGGTTTCCTTATCAGTCATGTTTTTAACCTATATAAAGAGCCTGTTGATTGTAATAGGACACTTGAATATCGAATAAAACTACAATCTTCCCCTCATTTCTCTCCTTCTACTTTCTTTTCTTTCTTATTGTTCTTGTTGCAATCGGCATCGGAAGAACACTGACTTTTGGTCGTCTCTTATCCATGAAGCCAATTTATCTCTTGCAAAAGTTCTTGTCAATTGCATTGCTCCTGACTCAGGCCATAGCATAAATTCCTATGTTTCAATGCTATTTGAAAATAAATGGAATAATGCCTCATGTCACGTAGTAGGTGGCTTAGGGCACTCTTTATGACATGATTGAAGTCATAATTCATAAATTGCCCTTTTGCCCTTCCAAATTTCTCTATTTCCAAAAGTTGCTTATTTTGCACGCCAAAAAGAATGAAACAAGAAAATATGAATTCATTTGATTTATTTGCAAATCTTTCGCATGATTTTTTATTTTTCCTTTCATGCCTTTATTGTGTAGCACCAACTAAAGGTTCATTACCCACTAAAGAAAATTTGCTCTTTTAAACTATTCTTTCAATATTCAGTTTGGACTATTACTCATACTAAAGCTAAACGAGTTTTCCTTGCACAGTCTTAACTTTTCCCCTCATTTGTTTAGGTTTATTAGCACAAAACGTCCCCACGTTTGGCCTTTAGGGTGCAAAACATCTTTACGTTTCAATTTTTTGCATTTTCACCCCTATCTCCACGTTTCATTGCGGAAATCATCATTTTCATCTATTTTTTCAATCAAAAGATTAAAATGACTAAAACGCCCTCCTATTTAAATAAAAGAAAAGAAAAAAAAAATAAAGAACAAATTAGAATTATAGTCCCAAAATTTCAAATGAGTCTCCAATGTATAATTAAAAATCCAACCTACGCCAAAAACTCAGACCAACCACCAGCTTTAAACCTAGGGATGGCAACGGGGGCTACGAAATTCCCCACCCAGTAGGGTAGGGTCCTTGCCCTGTTTACTACCTGTTTAATTTTTTTTTTATTTTAGTTTTTGATAATTTATTTTTATTACCCATATTCATTAGATTTGGACAAATAATTTTAGTTGCTATTTTTTATTAGAACTAATAAAATTTTGTGGAATTTTTCATTTAAAGTATTGAATTCTTAAAAAAATAATAATAAAAAAAATTTAAAGGGGCAGGGTGCCCGTTACTCTTCCTCGCCCCGAATACCCGATTAAGCGGGTTATCCCCTACTCATTCAGGGTGGGGCCTACGGGTATCGTGTTTTTTGCCATCCCTATTTAAACCTTAAAAACTCCTGCCAACCACCACCCAAACCACCAGAACTCCATACCATTGGTCAATCCTCACTCCCCTCTACACATACCACTTAGCCACCAGTCCTAACGTCACTAAATTTGGCTGGAATCGATAGCCAAAATCAGCAACTTGTCAACACAAAACCGACTACATCACCTTCTCTGGCTAACCAACACCTTTGAACCTTAAAAACTCCGGCCAACCACCACCCAAACCGCCAGAACTCCATACCATTAGACAGCGCTCTACACATACCACCCAGCTACCAACGGTAACGTCACTAGATTTGGCCGGAATCGATGGCCAAAATCAGAAACTTGTCAACAGAAAAATCGACTACATCACCTTCTTCGGCGAGACCCATGCCCTTTCCTTCATACTGGTCGACTATACTTATCAGGGCGCACCTATTCATGGTCTTGCAGCATCAACAAATCCACACGATCAAAATTTACGTACCCATTTTTCGAATCAAGCGAAAATGCAACTTTTAGTTGCGATTTTCGGAGCCAGTGGTGGGACCCGTGATCGCGGACCACCCATTCTGGCATCATCTGATCACAACGCAGCAATTCCACCTATGGGTCTTCAACAATTCAGCCTCCATATGACAGATCAAACAGGAATAGTAAGTGCGTGCGAGGAAGATTTTGGCCATCGGTTCCGGCCAAATCTGGTGATGTTAGGGTTGGTAGCTTGGTGGTATGTGTAGAGAGGAGTGAGGGTTGTCAATGGTATGGAGTTCCGGTGGTTTAGGTGGTGGTTGGCCGGAGTTTTTAATTAAGGTTCAAAGGTGGTGGTTGGCCTGAGTTTTTGGCGTAAGTTAGATTTTTAATTATACATTGAGGAATCGTTTGTAATCTTTTGGGACTATGATTCTAATTTGTTCTTTTCTTTTCTTTTCTTTTTGTTTATTTAAATATGAGGGCGTTTTCGTCATTTTACAGCTTTTAATTGAAAAAATAGATGAAAATGATGGTTTCCGCAATGAAACGTGGAAATATTGGTGAAAATGCAAAAATTTGAAACGTAAGGATGTTTTGCACATTAAAAGCCAAACGTATTTATCTCAAATATTGAATTTCTATGCAATTTTTCTTCTTCCTTTTTCTTGCCTGATTTTTTATTTCATTAGTAAATCGAATTAAGAAACATTTGTTAATAAGTGTATGTTCTCCACTCAATTTTTGATTTTATCAATAGCTCTTTTGATTAAAATTATATGTTTGTATTTGCAATATATTAGCTTAAATTATGAGAGTTTACAGATTCATCGTCCCCATCAGTCTTCTCCTATTTTTTCCATGTATGTAGAATTATGTGAAAGATTGTTTCTTTTCCTCAAACTAAGTAAACTTATTATGTATCTTATCATATCTTGACTCAAACTTTGGTTCTTTACTTTTGCATTCTTAATGATGTGTATTATTAAAGGGTTAATTACGCCAATGATCATTGAAGTTTTGAGTAATTACGCTCAATGATCACTGAAATTATTTTTTTACGATTATAATCAATCAAGTTTTTAAAAAAATTAACATTATATCCCACGCGATACCATTAAGTACCAACATGTCACCAAACAATGTTATTTATTACACCTAAGCAAAAAAGGGAGTTAATAATTGAAAATGAAACATGTTAGGATGAGAAAATGTAATGCAGTTTTAATTTTGTTCACGCTTTTTGGCTTAAGTCGTATTAGAAACTCACGTTTTCCTTTTATCAGTGATTTTTATTGACTTAGCATAATAAATAACGCTATTTGGTGACACGTTGGCACTTTATTCGTGCCGTAGAGATTTTAATTTTATTTTTTTTACCGAGTGACTGTTAGTGTAACATTTAGAAACTTGAGTGACTATTACCATACGAAAAGGACTTCAATGACCATTGGCGTAATTATTCACAACTTCAGTGACCATTGGCATATTTAACCCCTATTATTCAAGAAAGTAAAGTGGCATTTACATTGAGAAAAAAGGGTTATATCAGTAGTAAAAGATGAAACGTAGTTTATTTAGCAACCATTTTAGAATAATTATTATCATGGATTTGAAATATTAATTGTCAGTTCACGGATTACCCTATTTTTGAGCTCACTACAATTTCTGACTGACCAATTCTCGTGTGTATTCATCTGGCATCCAATTTTCTGTTTGCAACACGAATTCTTGAAACTCTTGTGTCCACGATTTCCGAGAAGTAAGTTGGTTTCTTTCTGCTCATTTCCGTAAATCATGGTGGATAAATATAGTTTTTCTAAAATTGTCTAAATTGTGATATTGCTTACCTTCAAATTTGTTGTCAATTCCACTTCTACAATATAATTCTCCATATTATTTTCCAATTATGGGTAATTTGTATTCTCATTGTCATCTTCTCATAACATAACTAGTTCATTTGGGAAGGATCCAGTTTACAAGTTTATTGTCATTATTAGTGCTTAATGCCTTCCAAGACATGTATTCTCCATTTAGTCGAGGACACCATGCAGGATCTTCTGTCTTTTATCATTTTCTTTGCAATTTGATGTATAATTTACTATGATGCTCGGACTCTTCGAAATAGTTGGAGTACTCGTGTCGGATACGACACGACACGGGTATGGGTATGGGATATGTGTCAGATCCTCCAAGTTTCAACCGGACACTTCGTCGTTCTTGTTTCTTCTTCCTTCTTCTTCTTCTTCTTTCTTTTTTTTTTTTTAATTTTCTTTTCCTTTTCTTCTTTCCCACTTTTGCTCTCTATAAACCCAGTGTCGTCGCTGATAGAGTGAAGAAAGACGGTGACGCTAGATTTTCCTTTCTTTTTCTTCTTTTTTTTCCTTCTCTCTCTTTATATAGGTGGTTTAGGGTTTTATTTGTATAAAATGAAAATGGGTTCCATATAGTACTACTTAGTGCTCCTCTAAATCCAAATTACAATCTGGTTCCTTATTTTCTATTTTATATAAAATTTAGTAATTCTCATTATTGAAAATTAAACCCCAAAATTCTATTTTATTTGTCTTAACACCTTATTAAATACTCATTTCCTTCATTGTGAATAATTAATTTTGGTCTATTCAAAATGACATCTTGAATTAGTAAAAAAATTAAAGTTTGAAAGACATACCCACGTACCTGTGTCCAAAATTTGGACTTTTTTTAGCCATATCCCTGTATCTTACATTTTAAAAAATAAAAAATCCGACACTTAGATACGTACTCATACCCGATACCTGTACCTGAGTCCGAACATCATAGATAATTTATATATATTTGCCGTCCTCTCAAAATTTTAATGGAAATTCGTTTACAAACCGACAAACTGGCTATGTTTTGCCTTAATTTACAAAAAATATCAAATCTTGTACTGTTTTATATGATTTACAGAAACTGTTTTCATCTGATTCCTGATTAACAATCTGTAGGCTTTTCCCTAGTGGAGATGGTGGAAATGGATTGGAACAAACAGACAAACCAGCTGCTCCAGTTCACCCGTTCCACCCCAAAATAACAATTCGACGAGGAGTATTGGCATCAGAGTGTGCAGACGCTATGCAACGGTTCTTTCAGTTGAGGAGAAGGGAGAAGGAGAAGAAATCTGAGCCTCCCACACCACCTCCGTGCCTTCCCATTTCACACCGTCCCACGAAGTTCTTCACCAAGATGCACGATGCCTTCAACATCATGTTTTGTTTGTAAGTTACCGGAAGATGAACATTTTTCTTTTCGTTACGTTGAAAAATTACTTATCATATAACAGTTTAAATAATGTATCCTTGCGATTGTGAGTCTTTACGAGACAAATTTTTCCCAGTCTCCAAAGGTTTTAGAATTTAGGCTTCTGCCACAATGTTTACAGAAAGATATGAATGGCACTTGGCCTGGTAACCAGTCCTCATACTTTCAGTTGGCAACATGACATTGCAATTGCACCCAGGATAGAGACCAGGTGGGGCATGACAGTTTTCTAAAGGCTTGCACGGGTGATGAGCAGGTCCATAGCACGGCATGTGTCCACCTGGTCTTCGTCAACTATGTGTTGGCCTATCCTGGCCCGATTATACACCTTTATGCCAATTTTGTGCAAAAAAAAAAAAAAACGTTCTGTCTCTCTTAATCGAAGAATCAAGACAGTAATTAAATAGTCGCTGCAAGATGCCAGAAAATGCGTTTTATGTACCTTTTTGTGTACAAGTAGACATTATTTTTCTGAACTGAATAATGAAAAGAAAAGCAAGTTGTCTTGATAACAACGTGTACATTGGAATTTACAGTCCTTTGAGCAAGTTGTATGATCCCTAATTGGTATTCTTTTAGCATCTGTTGGGAATGGGCATCAACGAGGATCTTGATGAGAAAGTTTATATGGAACAATCGAAATGTTTTGTTCTACCCAAAAATGAAGATAAAGTATGCAAATTAGTAAAATCATTATATGGATTAAATCAAGCACAAAAGAAATGGCACGAAAAATTTCAATAATTTCTTCTCGATTTAAACAGAATAATGTTGATAAATATTTATATTCAAAAGTTTTTGATAATTATGTTGTGCGTATTTGTTTATACATGGATGATATGTTGATTATAAGTAATCAAATGCAAAATATAAAAGAAGTAATGAGGTTTCTATTTTCTACACTTAAAATGAAAGATCTTAGTCAAACTACATACCATATTAGGTATCAAATTCACCAAGACTAGAATGTGATCAATAAGTTCAATAGTTTGAACATTAAATAGACAAATACTCCATTTGATCTAAATTTAAAACTAATAAAAAATGATGGAAAAGTAATAGCACAACTTGAGTATGTAAGTATTATAGGAAGTCTCATGTATGCGGTGCAATGTACAAGACTCGACGTAGCATTTGCAATTGGTAAACTTAGTAGGTTTACTAGCAATCTAAGTGAAAAATATCGGAAGGCTATCAGGAGGGTTCTTAGTTATTTGAAGAAAACCAAAGATCTAGATCTTCAATATTCTAAATTTTCGACAATTCTATAAGGATTTATCGGTACTAGTTGGATATCTAGTATACATGGGAATAAATCTACATTAGGTTGGGTATTTACCCTTAGAGGAGATACAGTTTCTTAGAAGAAACAAACGTATATTACACATTTAACTATGAAATCCGAATTTGTAGCATTGGCTGAAATCGAAAAAGTGGTTGAATAGCTTAGGGATTTAATATATGAAATCCCATTGGAAGAAATGAAGAATTCTTTTATATTTGTTTTGTGTGATAGTCAACCACTTTAGCTAGAACATACAATAAAATGTATAATAGTAAGTCTAGACATATGAGTCTAAGATATGATTATGTGAGTAAATAAATTAAGGATCGAATAATTTCGCTCATTTATCCGAATATCTATTATGGAAACCCTACTTGACTATATTGACAAGTATATTTTGGGTTTAAAGGGTAATAACAAGTCATTCGATAAGTGGATAGTTTCAACACTTATTTTTCTAAAATCTATAATAGATTATAAGTGCTGGTTGTCATGAATAAGAGAGTTGAATTTCTATAACTCTTAACAAGTTCAGATTGTTAGATCAAATATTTCTAAAAGTGAGAAAGATACTATAAGATCATTACCTATATGAACTTCAAGATAGTGTTGCTTCAATAGAGAGTTAGAGTTTCTCTTTTAAAAGTTCGTGGATAGGAGAAACTCAAGGTCATAAGAGCGTTAAACGAGATTGTGTGGAACTTGGAACACACGATGCTTATGTGTGTGATTTTATCGGTATCATTACAAGAAATAATAGGTTCAACGTTTTTATGCTACCTGGGATTTCGATGTTATTTTGTGAGATTTACACTAAGGTTTGATTTAAATCGAAAGATATCCATACTTCATACACAAGTGTCGTTAAATTTGAGAATGAACTTATTATATAGTTGAACAAGTGGGGAATTATTATACCTTTGTTCAAACATACAACGATAAGAGATTTGGAGTGATCAAACATCCGCGTGAGAGAATCAAGCAAGTGCAAAAACAACCGGAAGAAAAAACTGGAAAGTCAGAATTTTGGCTAGGGCTATCTAGTCTCATATTTTGGCACCCCGAGGCCAAAACGTTGCACTGGCGATCTGCTCAGTTCAATTTTTTTTTACCATTGCATTCGATTTTCTAGTGATTTTTCACACCTCTTTCACTTGATTTTGGCATCTATTCGTGCATGAGAACTGTTGTTTTATATATATTGATAGTTTTCATATTGGAAAACATAACATTAACATCAAATCTATACATTTACATCTAAATCAAAGATCTAAACTCAGAATTCTTAAGTGTTCTTCAAGTTCTTATTCAAGATCATATTGTTTGATTTGAACTTGTATTAAGGTTTGATTACTCCTACAACTATATGTCATTAAAGCCTTTAAACACTCATTCCGATGGCGGCCAATATCGTTTGAGGGCGGCTATTCATTATTGTATTCAAACCTTCCTTTTGGTAGATTCAAGGTTGCTGGTTTTCTTGTTCTTCATCATCTTTCACAACACTGTAGTGAACATACACCATGGATGGGATCATGAAATTCCCATCTAACATTTCTTCATCATCTACCACTTCCACAACTGGTTGAACAATTGGAACTTGACTGGTTGTTATCTCTTCTTATCATTCTTTCTCTCTTATTTCTCTCTGTGCTTTCTTCATTATTTGAAGCTTCTTTCGATTTTGTCTCAAGATTTTTCAAATGTCATTATGAAAACACCTGAAAAAATAAAAATAAAAAAAAAACACAAGAAAGAGTGAATATGATGATATTAGTGTAACTGAAAGCAAAAATGAACTTTCGAATCTATTTAGGAATCAATAATTTCAGATTAAAACTCCAATTTCCTGACAATGGCTCAAAAAACTTGTTCGGTGAACTTTCACAAATATACGAGATCGTTAACAAGTCATTATTTAAGTGAGTCGAGAGTATTATTTCCATGAGGCATAAACTTAAGTTTTAACTATATCAACTCACAATCAAATACGAATGTTAAATGTGTATGTTTTGATTTTAACTGCTAATAATTATTCTATTTTCTATCTAAATGCAGTTGAAGAAAGCTTCAAAAAATATAAATGTAAGAAAAATTTGTTAGGATCCATCATTTAATCTCTCATTCCAATTCTCAACTTATATCTATTAGTCTAATTTGTGTGTAGATTGATAAACGATAATCCTATATGATTTGATTCATCAATCTCTTTCGAACAAAATTAAACCTATCTTTAAACACAACTTAAAATATTCCTATTCCGAATTCAAGTATTTAGGTAATTCACAAGATTACCTATTAAGATTACATAAGGCATAAGCAATTTTCCTAATGTCTATTGAACCTTATGTTGATTATCACAATATGCTAAACCTATTTCTAACATTCCAAAAATAAAATAAACCACTTATTATCTAAATGGTGATCATGCATTCAAATATTTCATATAAATGTGATAAGAAATAGTATTTTAATTAAAAACAATAAAACAACGGTTTACATCATCATCCCAATACTTTATGAGTTTAGCCTAACATGCTAAAAATGCAATTGCAATAAAAGTTTTGATTATTCATCACTCAAAAAGTATTATTGCAAAGAGATGAAAGAAAATCAATTTACCTCCCTTGAATTCTTTCAATTGAGTCTCGAAGCAATTAGAAAATTTTCCCTTGCTTTGGATCTTCAATTATGAGCTTTAAATCCTTAATCTTTTGATGTTTAATGCATTCAAACTCTTCCTAGCCTTGTTCTCCACATTATTTAATCAGGAATGTCAAATTTAGCATCCCAAATTAGCTTAAAAGTTGTAGCTATGCTTTCCAATATATGGGTAAAATTGAAAAGTGTTACGAAAAATTGAGAATTGGCTATATGAAAAACAAGAACAAGAATACAAGATTTATGTGGAAATCCAAGATGAGAAAAAATCACGGATAGAGGAGGAGAAAAACTCACTAAGTCAAAGATAAGATGATTACAAGATATATGTTACTCCAAATATTTATAATACAATGAAGCCCTAACATATATTGGAGTTATAATATAATATGCCTAACATATAATGGAGTTTTTGAGGTAGAATAGGAATGTGAAAACTTCCAATAATGTAACTATTTGCACCGAATAACACAACCACTTGAGTGCCGGGCTCGCAGACAGTAAGTTGTGGCACGTCCACTTGAGCATCGGATGCGCAGCTAGCTAGCGACAATGTAGCTACCTAGATCTCGTGTCCAACCATTCTCTTATGTACTGTCCATTTTGGGATGGACTAGGATTCAATTTAAATCTCTCTTAAGGGGAGATCACGTGTTTGAATCCTAGTGAACGGACGAAAGCCGTGAGGGTTAAGAGAAAAGATTTCTTCTCATATGGGACAGTACGCAAGGGAACGGTTGGGCATGATGCTTGGATCATTACAAAAAAATGTGCATTTTTTATAACGACCCAGCCTCTATGCTCAAACTGTTAACTTACGTACTATCCACTCTAGGAGAGACTAAGCCCATTTTACTCCTCACGAATTTCTATCGCGTCCCCAGGATTTGAACCCTTGACATTTCTATTAAGAATGACTTAAGTTGAATCCTAGTACCAACTGGACAAATTGCTCAATTGGTCCACTTAAGTCTTACTTAAGGAAAATGTCATGGGTTCGAATCCTGGGACGCGA